TGGGGGGTTAGGTTTTGCAGGTGAAGGAATCGGAACTGCAATGCTCTCTGTTTTGGGGGGTTAGGTTTTGCAGGGGAAGGAACGGGAACTGCAATGCTTGCTGTTTTTTGTATTTTGATTCAATAAATTCATTTTTATTCATTTTTCTTTCTTTTCCTTTTTTTGATATGCAAAGGGGTTATAATCTTCCCTTACTCTAACCAAAATGAAAAATATAGTTTTGCCTATAGTTCCATTTTAACCCTCCTAACAGCAATAATTTGTCATGGCACTGAAACAGTGTTTATGCACATTTTCAGAACCATGGAGAGCTATTGCCAGCAGATTCTATGTAGAGCTATCATCTGCAGGGTAACAAAATCTTCATTGCTAATCTGCATATCAGATTTTTTGGCTGTTGCTCACTGGCCTCTACTTTCACCTCGTGCAAATTTATTCTACTGTAAAAAGAATGTATTTGATTGTGGACTTTCTAAGCTTCCAATGATGGCTGTTCTCATTGGAGAATCCAAATTGCCAATTTTGCATAGTGCAAAAACCAAGCAAATCCATTTTATTGGATGCACCATTATTGTTCCTATATCTGTAAACTAATCATAGACTGAGATATTAAATCTGACACACAGATGTTAATACCTTTGCAAATAACACAGCAGTTTAAAGAATAGAATACAATTTCAGGGTTAACACATTGCATTTTGTCCTCTTTCCAACTACAGTAACCTATTCTTCAATTAAAGTCTTTACATGCGGAAATATAAATTTAGCTATAATCCCATTGCACCAAGCTATTCACATATTTGACATCAGCTTGTCAGTTGTACCACTTGCTACAGTATATAGGTAGTATATATGTATTTTTAAGTAACCTGTCTGTATTTATCATGCAAATTGACATCATGGTAAGTCCAAGTCTACTTATTAATAGATCTGATTTGAATTACATTAATCAGTGTTGAAGAAAGAGAGACCTATTGAACTCTCGGATTAATATTTAAGATTGTTCCTGATTAAAAATAGAAATTTAAAAAAGAAAACAAAGACATGAATGTGAATATAAATATAATATATTGTATATAATATAATTAGCCTGCCCATAACATGGGAAGAAAAAATGACCCTCAATCACTTTGGGAAAAATAGTTAACAATAATTATGGAAAGGAGATAAAGGAGAACTGAGAAGGATTAATATATGTTGCCTTTTTCTCTTGATTATCTTGTGACAATTAATTAATCCAATATGCTTGCACATAAAAAAGCCTACAGGCTGAGGCAAAAAATAACCTCCTCTCAACTAAACTCTAAAATATAAAGGGAACAATACTTAAGTATAAAATAAAATGGACAGACAGAATACAAAAAAGTTCCAGACTGTAGTACATACCAATATATACTAATATTATATATTTATATTTTAATATGGTTATGTACAGTACATCATATTTAATATGTACATTTATTGGGGAGTCAAAGACAGCTCTGGTACTCAGATGTCCTTCTTTAGTTAAAGTTTTTTAAATTATTTTTGTAGCCAGTAAGAGAGATTTCCCCTACATTTATCCCTTAATAACACCAATGATCACTCTAAGACAGGGGTTAAAATTTCGAATGCAGACCTACTAGCCTGTCACAAAAGTTACTCTCCACCAGTTGCCCCACCCAACCTTGCCCAAGTCCGCCCCCAACCCCACCCCCGGCCCGCCCCAAACCCCACCCCTGGCCTGCCCCCAACCACGCCCCCTTAAAGCTTATGCAATTACATTTTTCTTTAGAATAAAGAGTCCAAAATATAAAACTGTACACAGTAATGTATATCCCAGCTCCCCTGTACTCCATTATAGTGATATGACGTGTATACAGTAATGTATATCCCAGCTCCCCTGTACTCCATTATAGTGATATGACGTGTATACAGTAATGTATATCCCCCCTCCCCCGTACTCCATTATAGTGATATGACGTGTATACAGTAATGTATATCCCAGCTCCCCTGTACTCCATTATAGTGATATGACATGTATACAGTAATGTATATCCCAGCTCCCCTGTACTCCATTATAGTGATATGACGTGTACACAGTAATGTATATCCCAGCTCCCCTGTACTCCATTATAGTGATATGACATGTATACAGTAATGTATATCCCAGCTCTCCTGTACTCCATTATAGTGATATGACGTGTACACAGTAATGTATATCCCAGCTCCCCTGTACTCCATTATAGTGATATGACATGTATACAGTAATGTATATCCCAGCTCCCCTGTACTCCATTATAGTGATATGACATGTATACAGTAATGTATATCCCAGCTCCCCTGTACTCCATTATAGTGATATGACATGTATACAGTAATGTATATCCCAGCTGCCTTGTACTCCATTATAGTGATGACATGTGTACAGTAATGTATATCCCAGCTCCCCTGTACTCCATTATAGTGATATGACATGTATACAATAATGTATATCCCAGCTCCCCTGTACTCCATTATAGTGATATGACATGTATACAGTAATGTATATCCCAGCTCCCCTGTACTCCATTATAGTGATATGACATGTATACAGTAATGTATATCCCCCCTCCCCTGTACTCCATTATAGTGATATGACATGTATACAGTAATGTATATCCCAGCTCCCCTGTACTCCATTATAGTGATATGACATGTATACAGTAATGTATATCCCAGCTCCCCTGTACTCCATTATAGTGATGACATGTATACAGTAATGTATATCCCAGCTCCCCTGTACTCCATTATAGTGATATGACATGTTGTATACAGTACTTACTCCTAGTCCCTCCGAGTCCCCCGAGTCGGTGGAGAGGGTGTCTCCTCTCAGTGGAGCAGCGCGGACCTCTTCTGCACCTGTCCCCTCAGCGTGAGGGAAATGTCCTCTTGGTCAGTTGTCATTGGAAAAAGTGTCCCCTTTGAAATATTTCCCCTCTAATCCTGTTCTGGTGACAACTGAGAATGTTGGTTTTTTCCTCTTACCTTCAGTCCTGTTATAATGGTCTCCAGGACATATGAAAAGAGCGAACCCCCCCAATTGGTGACACATACAGCAATAACAACCTGACGTGGGTTCTAACTCTTCATCACTTTCTATACTGAAAAAAAGGCTTTAGGCTTTAGATACACTTCCAGAAACAGCACTCCCCCACATCCACCGGTGGACTGATCCTGCCATCCTTGCTTCCAGAGCTGGTCTATGGACGTGATGACATCAGAAATAGACCATTCACAAGACTGCTAACGTGAGGGGGGGCTGGAGTGATAGAGACCGGTATTGCTTTCGGAGGATCAGCGGATTAGGTAAGTATATCTCCGCTCTCCTCACCACTAGACAAAAATGAGCAGTTGACCCATACAGTGTGAGCACAGCCCCACTGCATGGGAAATTAAAAAATTTGCCTGGAGTTCTTCTTTAAAAAAATCTCAGGCTCTGTTTATCAAACTGTGAGAAGATAGAACGCTCACCATTCATATTCTGCTCTTCATTTTCTTGCATGTCTCTTGGAGAACAGAAGGAAATATATGGAAGGATGCTGATGGCAATAAGCACAGTTCTTTCACCTAGATATTTTGATAAATAAGGCCCTCAGTGTATTGCATAATTAAACACACAGTAATAAAATATTCCTAGAAAACCTGGCAATGGTGTGTTAGACTCTAAAAAGAAAACCATAGAATAGAGGTTAGAGGTGCACAACGAAAGAGAACATTTATGAATCTTGTCATATAAAGTTCAGTATCAATTAAATGTTCCCAAAACTTGAAGAAGCACTGGAATATTGCAGTTTTATGGAGATACATCTGTTTTCTTGGTCATTCATTTTTATGCTTGAAGCTTAGGAAAATAGTTTTATGAAATTGAATGTACTGTATCACTGACATTTTTAAAATCTCATTTAGATCTCAAACAAATTCGGTAAGAAAATTTAAGATGATTTCAGTACAAAACCAGAAAGCTTGCATTCTTTTTACAACATTAATCTTATTTTTACTTTTACTGTATGTTCTGCTCCTAATGCTCTTTTATCTTACCTTTAGAGTCACATAATTTAACACATTTTCTGTACTACACTGTCATCTTGTGTTAAAAATGAATCACTACAAAAATACTGGCATCAGATTTTTTAAATAAAAGATGGATAGATAGATAGATAGATAGATAGATAGATAGATAGATAGATAGATAAACAGACAGTATTCTAGCAGGCCAGAAATAAAGAAAAATACTTTATCAGATCAGTTAAAGTGGTTATAAACTATATATTTTTTTAATAATAAATGTGGTATACTTGCTTGCTCTGTGCACGCTCTATAGCATGTATTATTAAACACAATTAATAAATATATATAGTTTATGTAAAAAAGTCTACACACCCCTGTTAAAATGTCAGGTTTCTGTGATGGAAAAAAAATGTGACAAAGATAAATCATTTGACAACTTTTTCCACCTTTAATGTAATCTATAAACTGTACAACTCAGTTGAAAAACAAACTGAAATCTTTTAGGTGAAGGGAAGTAAAAATAAAAAACTAAAACAATATGGTTGCATAAGTGTGCACACCCCTAACCACTAGCCTACAGGGCACTTATATCCCCTTCCTGCCCAGGCCAATTTCCAGCTATCAGCGCTGTCGCACTTTGAATGACAATTGCGCGGTCATGCAACACTGTAACCATATGAAATTTTTATCATTTTTTTGAGACAGATAGAGCTTTATTTTGGTGGTATTTAATCACCTCTGGGATTTTTATTTTTTCTTAAACAAACCAAAAAACACTGAAAATTTTGAAAAAAAATATTTTTTTCTTAGTTTTTGTTATACAATTTTGTAAATAAGTGATTTTTCTCCTTCACTGATGTGCGCTAATGAGGCTGCAGTGATGGGCACTGATAGGCTGCACTGATGGACACTGATAGGTGGCACTGATGGGCACTGATGAGGAGGCACTGGTAGGTGGCACTGATGGGCATTGACAGGCATCACTGATGGGCACTGAAAGGCAGCACTGATACATGGCACTGATATATGGCACTGATAGGCAGCACTGATAGGTGGCACTGACTGGCACTAATAGGTGGCACTGACTGGCACTGATAGGTGGAACTGACTGACACTGTTAGACGGCACTGACTGGCACTGTTAGGCAGCACTGACAGGCACTGATAGGCGGCACTGATGCGCACTGATAGGCAGCACTGACTGGCACTGATAGGCGGCACTGACTGGCACAGATAGGTGGCACTGATTGGAAGCACTGATAGGTGGCACTGATTGGCATTGATAGGTGGCACTGACTGGCACTGATGGGTGACACTGAAAGACAGCTCAGATGGGCACTGATATGTGGCATTGATGTGCACTGGTAGGCACTGATGTGGCACTGATGGGCACTGACACGAGGCACTGATGGACACTGACAGGTGGCACTGCTGGGGCTACACTGATCACCAGGGCACACTGATCATCAGTGCCCTGATGATCAGTGTACATGTCAGCTCCGCGGAAAGCCGATTACCGGCATTTCCCTGTTTACATGTGATCAGCTGTGATTGGACACAGCTGATCACATAACCGAGCCGACATCTTCAGCTCTTTCCATGATTGGTGATCCGCTGTGTCCGAGGGACACAGCACACCGCCGATTGCCGCACTGCGCGCTCCCTGAGCCACGCATGCACAGTGAGAATGGGAGGACGTCATATTACGTCCTCCCAGAACGAGAGAACCACCTTGCACCCGTCATATTACTATATGGCGGGCGGGAGGTGGCTAAACTAATACTTTGTTGAAGCACCTTTTGATTTTATATCAGCACTCAGTCTTTTTGGGTAAGAGTCTATCAGCATGGCACATCTTGACTTGGCAATATTTTCCCACTCTTCCTTGCAAAAACACTCCAAATCTTTCAGATTGCAAGGGCATCTCCTGTGCACAGCCCTCTTCAGATCACCTCACAGATTTTCGATCTGATTCAGGTCTGGACTCTGGCTGGGCCATTCTAAAACTTTCATCTTCTTCTGGTGAAGCCATTCCTTTATTGATTTGGATGTATGCTTTGGGTCGTTGTCATGCTGGAAGATGAAGTTCCTCTTCATGTTCTGCTTTCTAGCAGAAGACTGAATGTTTTGTGCCAATATTGACTGGTATTTGGAACTGTTCATAATTCCCTCTACCTTGACTAAGGCCCCAGTTCCAGTTGAAGAAAACAGCCCCAAAGCTTGATGCTGCCACCACCCATGCTTCACTGTGGGTATGGTGTTCTTTTGGTGATGTGCAGTGTTATTTTTGCGCCAAACATATCTTTTGGAATTATGGCCAAAAAGTTCAACCTTGGTTTCATCAGACCATCACACAGTTTCCCACATATTTTTGGGAGACTTCAGATGTGTTTTTGCAAAATGTAGCCAGGCTTGGATGTTGTCCTTCATAAGAAAAGGCTTCTGTCTTGCATCTCTACCCTATAGCCCAGACATATGAAGAATATGGGAGATTGTTGTCACATGTGCCACACAGCCAGTACTTGCCAGATATTCCTGTAGGAAGTACAGTCAGGTCCATAAATATTGGGACATGGACACAATTCTAACATTTTTGGCTCTATACACCACCACAATGGATTTGAAATGAAATGAACAAGATGTACTTTAACTGCAGACTGTCAGCTTTAATTTGAGGGTATTTACATCCAAATCAGCTGAATGCTGTAGGAATTACAACAGTTTGCATATGTGCCTCCCACTTGTTAAGGGACCAAAAGTAATGGGACAGAATAATAATCATAAATCAAACTTTCACTTTTTAATACTTGGTTGTAAATCCTTGGCAGTCAATTACAGCCTGAAGTCTGGAACGCATAGACATCACCAGACGCTGGGTTTCATCCCTGGTGATGCTCTGCCAGGCCTCTACTGCAACTGTCTTCAGTTCCTGCTTGTTCTTGGGGCATTTTCCCTTCAGTTTTGTCTTCAGCAAGTGAAATGCATGCTCAATCGGATTCAGGTCAGGTGATTGACTTGGCCATTGCATAACATTCCACTTCTTTCCCTTAAAAAACTCTGGTTGCTTTTGCAGTATGCTTTGGGTCATTGTCCATCTGCACTGTGAAGCGGCGTCCAATGAGTTGTGAAGCATTTGGCTGAATATGAGCAGATAATATTGCCCGAAACACTTCAGAATTCATCCTGCTGCTTTTGTCAGCAGTCACATCATCAATAAATACAAGAGAAGCAGTTCCATTGGCAGCCATACATGCCCACGCCATGACACTACCACCACCATGATTCACTGATGAGGTGGTATGATTAGGATCATGAGCAGTTCCTTTCCTTCTCCATACTCTTCTCTTCCCATCACTCTGGTACAAGTTGATCTTGGTCTCATCTGTCCATAGGATGTTGTTCCAGAACTGTGAAGGCTTTTTTAGATGTCGTTTGGCAAACTCTAATCTGGCCTTCTTGTTTTTGAGGCTCACCAATGGTTTACATCTTGTGGTGAACCCTCTGTATTCACTCTGGTGAAGTCTTCTCTTGATTGTTGACTTTGACACACATACACCTACCTCCTGGAGAGTGTTCTTGATCTGGCCAACTGTTGTGAAGGGTGTTTTCTTCACCAGGGAAAGAATTCTTCGGTCATCCACCACAGTTGTTTTCCGTGGTCTTCCGGGTCTTTTGGTGTTGCTGAGCTCACCAGTGCATTCTCTCTTTTTAAGAATGTTTCAAACAGTTGTTTTGGCCACGCCTAATGTTTTTGCTATCTCTCTGATGGGTTTGTTTTGTTTTTTCAGCCTAATGATGGCTTGCTTCACTGATAGTGACAGCTCTTTGGATCTCATCTTGAGAGTTGACAGCAACAGATTCCAAATGCAAATAGCACACTTGAAATGAACTCTGGACCTTTTATCTGCTCATTGTAATTGGGATAATGAGGGAATAACACACACCTGGCCATGGAACAGCTGAGAAGCCAATTGTCCCATTACTTTTGGTCCCTTAACAAATGGGAGGCACATATGCAAACTGTTGTAATTCCTACACCGTTCACCTGATTTGGATGTAAATACCCTCAAATTAAAGCTGACAGTCTGCAGTTAAAGCACATCTTGTTTGTTTCATTTCAAATCCATTGTGGTGGTGTATAGAGCCAAAAAGGTTAGAATTGTGTCGATGTCCCAATATTTATGGACCTGACTGTAGGTCTTTCTTGACATTTTCTTAGTCACATCCTACAGCAAAAGCCATGGTCTGCAGAGAGCTTCCAAAGCATCAGAGGGATCTCATTGTTAAAAGGTATCAATCAGGAGAAGGGTACAAAAGAATTTCCAAGGCATTAGATATACCATGGAACACAGTGAAGACAGTCATCATCAAGTGGAGAAAATATGGTGCTAAAGTGACATTAATAAGAACTGGAAGTCCCTCCAAAATTGATGAAAAGACAAGAAGAAAACTGATCTGGGAGGCTGCCAACCTACAGCAACATTAATGGAGCTGCAGGAATATCTGGCAAGTACTGGTTGTGTGGTACATGTGACAACAATCTCCCATATTCTTCATATGTCTGGGTTATGGGGTAGAGTGGCAAGACGGAAGCCTTTTCTTATGAAGAATAACATTCTAAGTCAAGATGTGCCATGCTGATAGACTCATACCCAAAAAGACTGAGTGCTGTAATAAAATCAAAAGGTGCTTCAACAAAGTATTAGTTTAAGGCTGTGCACACTAATGCAACCATATTATTTTAGTTTTTGTATTTTTACTTCCCTCCACCTAAAAGATTTCAGTTTGTTGTTCAACTGAGTTGTACAGTTTATAGGTTACATTAACAGAGGAAAAAGTTCTAAAATTATTTATTTTTGTCTAATTTTTTTTTTAACATCACAGAAACCTGACATTTTAACAGGGGTGTGTAGACTTTTTATATCCACTGTAATAAAAGATTACTTGACATAGTACTCTTTACCTACTGCCAGAACTCCACGTCTTGACACATCAGTACTATTACTACGCTCATGATGATTGGGCACATCAGAGGAGTTAGAGTGATGTGAGATACAATTAAGTAGATAGAGGACACTATTCTCTTTATCAACATAGCAGAAATAGTAGTCTATCTCTCACAAATGGGTACTAAAAAGAAGTTGTTGGAGACTGAAGCAGTCTGTAATCTTACAGTGAAGATCATGAGATAGTTCATAGCAAAAATATTGTTGATGATTGCAGTACAGGTAATGATGATGACTGCAGTACAGTACAGGTACAGTACACTCAAACAGTCTGTAGGTCCGCGTTTGAAGATCATGAAGCTGTAGGCGCACAAATAAAGAGGCTCTACTCACAAGAACTTGGCACACAATCAATCCATAGGTGCAGCCTCCAGTAAAGTAGTTCAACATTACGTCCAAAGGGCTCCAGAGACAAACAGTCCGCCTCCTCTCAGCTCACAGTTCCATCCCCCCAGGGGAAAAAAAAAGACAATCTCCTCAGGGCTCCAGACCATTTAATAGCAGCCCAAACACCAACTGGACACACCTCCCCAGGGATTGGCTAGGCCCTTCTGATTGTACAGGCTGAATATTTGAATTCTTCCACTCTAAGCTCTAGAAAATTGTTCTAGAGCCAGGAGGAAGTAATCACACTCTTAGCCTATAAAGCTTCAGGCAGACCAAACCAAACAATCACTCTAGTTACAGCAGAAGCCAAAAACTAAATTTGCCAACAGCCCGGCTAGGAGGGAGCTACTGAAATTTCTTTTAAAAGGTCAGAACTGCAACAGTGAATGCTGTGAATGGTGCGTGCATAGCTCCCAACTGTCCCTGATTTCGAGGGACTGTCCCTAAATTGGAAAAAAGTCCTTCTGTCCCTCTTTCCTCCTAATTTGTCCCTCATTTTGGTCTGATCTATGTTGTTATATATAAAATGTATTACTTATCTATCAAAAAGTGTTTCCCAGTGATAAACCTTTCATCCAATTTCTAAACTGCTGCATTTGTAAATTCCAAAGCTAATATAAAGGAATAGTAGTGGTAAAAAAAGCACTTGTGGGTTTAACCAATAAGTTTTTTGTACAATTCCCTTTTAAAGGGGGTGTGGATGGGGGTGTGTCCTAGGCCTACATACTTTTGCTAATAGGTGTCCCTCATCCCCATCTCTGAAAGTTGGGAGGTATGGGTGCGTGTTTCTGTAAAAACACATGGTGGCAGCTACCGTTTCTATGTGTAAAGGGTTAACTGTAGATTTACCTTGCCATAGTAAAGACTCCCTTCCAGTCTGCTAGTGCTTACAATGTTGTCCCAAGAGTTGTGTGCAGAGTGAGACTCAGAGTGTAAAGTGCTGCAGAGAAATGCAGCCAGGAAACTTAAACAAAGCCATGGTTTCTGGTAGGCCTTGGCTTTACTCCTGAGATAAGTAAGCA